GTCACATCGTCACGACAGTGTGACACTTGCTGACCACTGACCCAGAGCCCCGTGCTCCGCCCAGCCCCGCGTGTAGGGATTTAAGGGCCGCGGAGTAGCCGCAGCATCTGTGGTCACAGGGCTGTCCTTGTGGCCCCCGTGGATCAGGGACCGGCCCCGTATTCCATGCAAGGAAGTCACGATGTACGGTACACACTTGCAGGAGTGGGAGTTACCCTTCACCTCCTTGAGGGTGGGGTCGCTGCACACGTGACCTGGGGCTCTTCTGCGGAACAGCTGTGCCTCTTCCACCCCATTTAGTGACTGGCTCCATCATTTCCTAAATCAGTATGAACGCACGCACGTGTATTTTAAACTTTGAGATATAACTGATGCTACTTTATTTTGTTGTTCAAATAGTTCCATCTTTGGCCACTGGGAAGTCTTTCAGTTGGTGACTTTGCCCCTTTGACAGGCCACCACGGTATATTTGTGTGTGTCTGTGTGTGTGTGAGAGAGAACGCTGCGTTACTCCCTGGCACTACAAGATGCTCCAGTCTTGGCTTGCCCAGTCTAGAATCAGCCATTTCTTCAAGGAGCCCCAGAGCCTTTAGTGAGAGAAGAGAATGCTGTTAGAAACCAAGATCTGGGATCTGGGTGTGCTTGTTGCCCTTGGGGTGTTGTGGCTTCCAGGCCCTTTCAGCTGTGAGGACAAGGAGATGGGTGTGTGCACACTCACCCGTGTATACTCACATGTCTGTAAACATTTTCAGACATGGCCATCTGTGCTCTGAAGGCACTCGGGAGCGGGAGGAGTGAACACAGTAAAATGAGAACCCTGGCGGCCGGGTAGAGAATGGAGAGTAGGGCTGGATCCAGGGAGACCAGTGAGAGGATTGTGACCTTCACCTGGGGGAGAAAGGAGGTGACCTGAACTTAGCATTTACAATGGGGGAGACAGGAAGTGGGTGGGGCTCACGGGTGTCTGGGAACCAGAGAGTTCAGGGTCTGGGAGTGGTGGGGACAGGCACGGGATGCGGAGCTGGGCGGGACGATCCTGGAGAGATCTGGGGGCCTGAAGCGAGCTGGCACAACTCTCCGAGCTGAGGGTGACAGAAGGCTGAGGGGTGTGTGTCGGGGCTGCGTGATGAGTTCAGCTGCATTCACTCTGGCCCAAGATACTAGGTGAGCAGGACATCCCTGGGGTGACCGGCAGAAGGCAGGAGGCAAATGAGTCTGCAAGTAACTGAGAGATTTCTGCACCCCCCAGCACAGAACCATCAAGAACCGTCCCACCCCTCGAAAAGTCTCTTACGCTGCCTTTTTGCAGTCAACCCTGACCACCTCTAATCTCTTCTCATCCCTGGAATTTCGCCTTTTGCAGAATTTTGCATCACATTAATTATGCAAATAATTTTGCAGAAAAGAACACCCACGGACAGCGATCTCTGTGTTCCTCCAGTTCCCAGCGCACGGCTGGCTACAGACCGGGCACCTGGCTCACAGCAGGCAAAACAGCCAGCAGGGAGGTGGTGCCTCTCAGCGTGTGACCCAGGGGCCTCCAGCATCAGCATCTCCAGGGTGCCTGTTGACTACAGGTTCCCAGGCCCCACCGGCCCCTCCAAACGAGACGCTCTGGGCCGGGAATCTCGAGGCCAACGCTCACCAGATGGGTTTACATACTTTCTAGGTTTGAGGACTGCACTGAACAGAGGCAGCTGGTCTCTGCTGAGCCTCGCGGGACAGGCCCCGGCTCACAGGCGCGATGTCGGGACGGAGATCTCAGGAGTGATGCCCTGTCATCACCTCCAGTCCTGCAGCCCCAGTTCCCACGGAATCTGGGCGAGCATCGCAGACTCTCCAGCTTCCTCCTGCTTCCTGCCTTTGCTCCCATGACTGGGAAGTTCTCCTTCTGGTCCATGCAGAGGCCACCCCGACATTCTGAGCCTCTGGGGTGCCGCTCCTCTCCTGGGAACACTTGTCCCACTTCATTCTTAGAGCCGGCCCCCTTGCTGCCGGAGCCACCACCACAGCCCCACCATGAGAACATTTCTTGGACCCTCGGCCGGGGCAGTGGGCATGAAGATGGGACGTGGCATTGGGAACAAGGGCCCTTCACAGTTCTTTATGATGGCAAAGGCAGTGGCAGGGAAGGTGGCCCGCAAACCCCATCTCCCTCCTTGCGTGGAGCACGTAGGTCACTATTTCCATTTCAAGGGGGCGGCTGTCAGTCTGCTTGTTGTTAAGTGCGGGGCGTGGACAGCAGATCCCAGGCCCTGACCATGGTCAGCAAGGGCAGGGGGGGTTCCCTTTCCCTCATGGGCAACGGGCCCCAATTAGTCAGGGCGGCCGGGAAGCTGCTGCAACCAGGAGGGAGAGGGAAGGCCAGGCTCCCTGCTCTGCCCCGGGGGATCCGCCATTCCAGCCGGGCCTGCAGGTTTCAAGCTGCTTATCGCCCTCGTGATTATGAAAGTCATACATTTAGAAAACAGGGACAGTGGACAGACGAAAATGAGCGCTGGTCGTCTCACCTGGCAGAGACCATCATGGGAGCTGCTGTGGACCAAGGCCGGGCATCATCACCTGACCCTCCTCCAAACTGTGCACGTTTTCCTTAACCTTCTAATCCCGGCACCACTGAGGAGACTCGGAGCTGGAGGGGAAGCCACCTGTCCACGACCTGCCCAGGGGGACCCGTACGGAGGACTGTGTTCACAGCCTGAGTGCGGGAGCTGCCTTCACCCCTTCATCCAGGCCACCTCCCCCTGCTTCCCTGGGTGGCTGTCCTCGGCGCTCGGTCCTGGGCTTGTTCTACTGGGTGCGTGTGTGTGTGCACACGTGCGTGCGCACATGTGTGTGATAGAGCTGAGATCCCGTTGCTCATATGAAAGGTGTATCTTTTGTTCAACACATAACATCCTAACATTTGTGTATCCTCCCCACACATGCTGAGCAGTTCCCCCGGGAGCAGCTGGCAAGGGGGTTGGCAGCCTCTTCCTGCCAAGATGCCAGTACTCACATGACCCCGTTTCCCTAAGACCCCTTGGCCTTCCACCTGCGCAGGTACAGGTGCTCACAGTGGGTCTGCAGTGGAAAGGTGAGGCCGGCCATCTCCTAGGGATCCTCTTGGGCCTTGTATGCCAAGGAACAAGCTTTGGGAAGTGCTTCGTGTGGGGGCTCCCAGCCAGGGTCCCTGGAGTGAGAGAAATCCAGGCGATGCTTCCGGTACAGAAACATCATCTTCTCAGCTGGCAGAGAGGGGTCTCTGAGCGTCTCCGGGAGGGACACGGGACCATCCTCAGATCAGAACCTCCCAGGAGGGAGGTTCAACCATCTCTAGGGAGCAAGAACTCTCCAGTGCCAGGCTTGCCAGGCGGAGAAAGAGTGGGCACTGGCTGTGCCCTGCAAGGGTCCGGCCACTCCCTGGCTTCGCCCTGGGGGTCAGGGCTGGCAGGAGGAAGGAGAGGCACGTGCTGAGGCCTCCTCTTCCCCGGGCAGCCCTCGGATGGCCTCAGCTCTGGCCAGGGCAGGGAGGTCCCACACCTAGGAAAGAAGGAACCTTCAGGCAACGAGACCCTTGGGGCTTGGCTTTCAGAACCGCTGGGGAGCCCAACGCCTGGAGGTGACGGGGAGCGGATGGGAGGTCAGAGGGTCTGCAGTTCTGTCTCCCCTGCCCCTCGGTTCCCTCAAACCTGAAAACGGGCAAGGTGGTTTCCAAGATGCTTTTGGCTGGGAGGCTGACACCCCTAGAAAAGGGTGTTTCCAGGGACCAGGGCACTGAGACCCTTGCCTCCAGCTCTCTGCTGCCACCAATCTTTGGAGTGGGTGGGGGCAGTTCATGGTACAGAGGCTGAATAGCCCCAGTCAGAGACCTGGGACGTGGACGAGGGATCCCAGGAGAGGCGTTGGAGGTCACCATCCAGGGAAGGGAGAAGGTGGGGGGTCAGGCCTGGGCCCCTGGTGCGGAGCAGACCATCCCTGAGCAGGGCCCCAAGACCAGGGCCACAGTCGGGGCACAGCTAAGGCCTGACTTCCTGCTGCTGTTGGTCTCACGCCTCTTCTGTGCACGGAGGCCCTGCTGCCTCCACACCGTCTCCAGGTCCTTCGCTGGGATGAGGTGAGGATGAAGGATGCGGAAAGACTTTCATCAGCCATAAAGCACCCTACAGATGCGAGCTAACGCTATTATTATTGCTGTAATTATTGTCATTCCAAGTGCACAAAGATGATGGGTGGCCTGTCGGTGGGGATGAGGGATCCAATTTGCCAGGAAACTGTCATGTTTCAGCATGATAATGCTTTGAAATCCGAGGAGGAAAGGGCCTGTGACCAAAGGCATTCAACGATCATTGTAGTAGAGTCCACACACATAAGACCTGACTTTGTACAGAAAAAAGTCACCCATGAAAAACTAAGCCAGGCTTTTCCCCCATCCCCTGCTGCCTTCAACTCTGGGGCTTAAGAGATAAAAGTTCAGAATCCAATCAGGAAGAGATTTTCTGGAAGCTTTGGCCCAGTAGACAGCCAGCAAGACCCCTTTTCCCTCCCAATAGGATGGAGCTTAGGTAAGTGTGAATTATTGTTCAATGCTCTTCCCAGCCCAGCTCCCACGGCTTCTCATCGACGTCTCCACCAAGGCTGGCTGGAAGGTCAGACCCCCTGGCCCTGCGGCTTCTGGTGCCTTGAGCCCAGGTCAGAGGGTCTGCAGGGGCTCGAGAGGGAGTCCACGGTTCCTGCATGGGTGGCAAGACCAGGCTGCGGGGCTGAGCCCCGGGGCCCTGCACACGGAGTCCACACAGCTGAGAGTGCCTGTGACCGTCTGCTCTCCCCGCCGTGGGCACTGCTGGCACGTGTGAGTGAATGAACCAAGGTGCCTTGTAGGAAGCTGGCTGTGGGTCCTCAGATGGCACTCGGAGCCGTAAGAAACCCCTCTGGCCCAGGAACTAGTCATCAGCGTCTCCTAACTGCAGGAAATTGGGCGAGCAGAGCACGTTGCTGGAATCAGGCAATGCTCTGATCACCCAGCGCTCTCGTCGTCCACTACAACCTCCAAAGCCCCCTCAGCCCCTCGGGCCATGGGCATCGCTCCATGTCCTGGAGCTGGGTTCCATCCTTCTTCCCTGTGCCCAGCTGCACAGCCGAGCTTCGACACCCCCAGGCCTCCAAGGAAAGTGGGAAGCTCTTTACAGCAACATGGCAGGTGACCAACAGACTGGGCCAGGGCAGGACATAAGGGCCACCCCAGACACCCGCCAGGACGCCCAGTGAGCTCCTGCAACCCCCAGTGAAGTCATCCATCTCAGGGCAACTGGTAAACGGGGCTCCTGGACCCCAGGACGGGGAGCAGAGCTTTGCTGAGACCACTCTGGACGGCAGGCACTGCTGCAGGGCTTGGCGTGCAGGAGGCTGGCTTCCCCTGGGGTTTCAGTGCCGTCAAGACGTTTCTGGGTCTTATTTGCGGAGCCAGCCTCAGAACTCAGGTGTGCGTAACATCCTCTCATGACATATCCCAGGAAAGGGGCTCTGTGGAGGTCTCACGGTTCCCAAGGCTGTGGGCGGGGTCAGCGTGGCCTGGTGGAGAAAACATGAAGTCACACGAACCCCAAACCAACCAGACCAGGTGAGGAAAAGACCTGAGCAGGTTCAGCGGTGCTCGGCCGGCAAGCACTGTTTCCATCAGCATCTACCCCTGCAGCTGGGAAACCCCAGACCGTCAGGACAGGAGAGACTTCCACCCAGGCCCCAAGAGGCTTCTCCCCCCAGGCCAGTGTGCTGGCTGCCACCACAAAGGACCACGCTGGGTGGCCAAAAACAAGAGGAATTCATTCTCTCCCAATTCTAGATGCCAAGGTGTCAACAGGACCTCGCTCCCTCCGGAGGCTCTAGGGGAGGAACCTGCCAGCCTCTTCCAGCTGCTGGAGGCTCCAGGCGTCCCCAGGCTTGTGGCCAAATGAATCACTGCAGTCAGTCTCTGCCTCCGTCTTTACGTGGCTTCTCTTCTGTCTGGGTCAAATGTCCCGCTGCCTCTGTCCTATCAGGATCCTTGTGATAACATGGGGCCACCTGGATAACCCAGGAATATCTCCCCATCTCAACATCCTTAACCACATCTGCAAAGACCCTGTTTCCATATAACGTAACATTTACAGGTTTTAGGGATTGGGACCTGTTACCTTTGGGGGCCGCAGGCGGGCTGAGCAGACCCGGGCAGGGGTCCCACAGAAGTAGAAGCCCAAGGCTAAAAACTTCATAGAGTCTCAATGTACCATTCTCTGCAGCCATTTTTCAGTTTAATTGGTTTGAAATGGATTTGGCTGGGAGGGACGTCCCAGGAAATAAACTGGTTTAATAACACCTCCCATCTGTGTAGTGCATCCCAGCTTCAGAACTGGGCCACGTCCACGTACATCCATTTTCTCTTTAGCTCCAGGATGGGGCAAGTGACAATGATGTTTAGACCACCACAACCTACCCGTGGAGGGGCCACCCCTCCAAGCCCTGGGCTGGGTTTGCAGCTAACAAGACAACCCACAGGTGTCCACCTTCAGCCCAGACCACAGGTGGCCGGGACCCAAAGATACAGTTCCCTCTAGACAGGTCCTTTTTTTTTTTTTGCGGTACGCGGGCCTCTCACTGCTGTGGCCTCTCCCGTTGCGGAGCACAGGCTCTGGACGCCCAGGCTCAGCGGCCATGGCTCACGGGCCCAGCCTCTCTGCGGCATGTGGGGTCTTCCCGGACCGGGGCACGAACCCATGTCCCCTGCATCGGCAGGCGGACTCTCAACCACTGCGCCACCAGGGAAGCCCTAGACAGGTCCTTTTGAGCATCCTTCTTACTGGAGCAGAGGGAGCCAACCAATGGCACCTGGCACCCTAACCCACAGGCTGGCCAGGGGTGTGACAGGCCCGCGTGTCTGGGCGGGCAGGTGGGCACCGCTGGTTAGAGATGCAGGGCTCCTGCCCCAGCCCCGGTAGGTAGGTGCCACCCACTCATACTCTGACGTGCCGGATCTCCCGGATCTACTCAGGGAAACACTTATTCCCCTGCTACCCTCATGCAACAGAGAGATGCCATGGGATTTCGACTGGGGACGGGGGGCTGGTGGGGATTTGCCACCGGGAGCCCGTAGTTTCACCACTAAGGGGCAGGAAGGGCCTCTCCAGGTGAAGGCTATTTGGAAGGGGGTTAGAAGCCCCTCACTCATTCCTCTGCCCCCAAGAGGGTAGGCTGGCCCCAGGTGCAGGGGGCTGGGCAGAAAGCCCCTCTGCCCTTGTCCACCCTATCCTGACGATGACATCAGGCCTGGGCCAAGGAGTAAGTTTCCACGGCTCAGGGAGAGGCTGCAGGTGGGTCCGGAAATGCTGTCTGGGTGACTCACTTAACAGGAATAAAAGGCAGGTGGGACCCTCCGGCCAATCTCTTTGGTGACCTTAAAGGCCGGTTTGATGACAATTGAAAGGATTGAAGGGCCTGGCCCAGAGCAGGGTCGGCCCCAGCTAGACAGGGTCTAAGCCCTGGGACAGAGTGGGGCTCTGTCGAGGCTGGTGGTGGTGGTCGTACCTGTCATTGGCCAGGTCTTGTCTTGGAAAGTGCAGGGATGCTGAGAGATGGAAAAACACGTGTTTGTTGTTTCCAAGGAATTTATCATCCAAATAACAGTGTCTCGGGGACCCAGTTGGGAGCGAGACACATGGTTTGGACTCGGGCTCTGTCCCTTCTGCGCACAATGTCCAGTCTTAGCCTCACTGGACCCCCGTTTGCTTGTGTTTGCTCGGAGAAGGTAGCAGTGGACCCTGCTGTTAGCTGTCCTTATCATCATTCTCGGCTGTCCGTGGGCTCCAGGATCAATCCCCTCCCATAAACCCAGCTGCACAATGTCAGCCACGGGCACGGCAGAGCCCCGCACACCAGGGCAGGCGTTAGGGGGAGAGGCCCGGCCAGAGCTGAGCTTTAGCACAGAGGACCTCCGCTGGCTGGGGTCTCTGCAAATACACACAGAGAGGATTTGGGCTGTCAGCAGAACACGCTTCTCTCCCTCCCCTAGAGAAATTTTTAGAGAAGCACTTGGGGTTTCATTTCCCTTTCTCTTCACGGAGGTCAGGCAGCACTTCCTGAAAGCTATTGCCTGCTTTTAACCACGGGGCGTTTGCGCTGTTGAGTCTCGGAGGCCCCAGGGCCTCAGACAAGGATGCAGCTCTACTCCCGCGGACACAGCGCTGCCCAGTCCGAGGTCCGTGTGGATTTTGTAACTCGCCGTGCACCCTGTCTGCCCACCCCCACGCCCGAGCTCCACCAGCCTCCCAGCATCTGGAATCCAGCCCTGGCCCTGGGAGGCCCAGGAGGAGGGGTTCCCACACCTGCAGGGTGGCCGGTGCATCCTCACGGACAGCTGCGGGAAGATTCAGGGTCTCACTCGGCTGGCATCTGTGACGCCTTTCCTCTGTAGGGTCCCTGAGCTGGTGTGACCTTGCCCATGACCTAAGGGTCGAGTCCATTTCGGCAGCTTCCCTGAGCTTAATTTTCCTGCTGCATGGGAGTCCGATCCAGGTTCGCTGAGACGCCCCACCTGGGACATCAAGCTGGATACAGAGCCCGAGGTGAAAACCCAATACACAGCAGGCAGTAGTAGCTGTCTTACGTCCTGTTTCAGAGGTTGTGATCTATTATTATTGCTGTTGTTATGACCACTGGTCCATCCTGTCGTACAAAGACCCAGTTGCTGGCATGTGGAGAGTGGGCTGGGACTCCTCCGGGGCTAAGATGAACCTGGAGAAGAAGCTCTATGGCCACAGGCCTGGGGGTGGGTAGCTGGATTTACCAAATAAAAATACAGAATATGCCTGTTCCACGTAAATTTCAGATGAACAACCAATACTGTATGAGGCATGTTTATGCATAGATTTTTGTTTATCTGAATTCTCTCTTTTTTCAGGATAATGGTGATATAGCCATTCAGAGAAAGCAGCTATCAGTTGAGTTTCTTGTGTGCTGGGTGGGCATCTAACTCCCTGGGTTTTCTTTAAAAAACTTCTTTATTGACATATATTCACATACTGCACGATTCATCCATTTCGAGTGTACAATTCAACAGTTTTTAGTATGTTTGCAGGTAAACACAATCATCGCTACAATCATTTTTTAGGACTTTTTATTAGCGCAGAAAGGAACCCTCTTCCCACTGGCCATCACTCTCTTGCCCCAGCTCCTCCGTCCTAAGCAGCCGTTACTTGGCTTTACGTCCCTACGTATTTCCCTCTTCTGGGCATTTCTTTTTTTTGCCGTACATGGGCCTCTCACTGCTGTGGCCTCTCCCGCTGCGGAGCACAGGCTCCGGACGCGCAGGCTCAGCGGTCATGGCTCACGGGCCCAGCCGCTCCACGGCACGTGGGATCCTCCCGGACCGGGGCACGAACCCGTGTCCCCTGCATCGGCAGGCGGACTCTCAACCACCGCGCCGCCAGGGAAGCCCCTGGGCATTTCTTATGAATGGAATCCTGTAATACGTGGTCTTCTATGACTGGCTTCTTCACTTCCTGTGCTTTCCAGGTTCATCCACGTTGTAGGGTGTGCCAGGGCCTCACGCCTTCTCGTGCTAATAAAACCCCTTCGTGTGGATGGACCACATCTGCTTCTCCAGCCATCAGCGGTGATGGCAAGGGCTGTCTCCTCACCTGAACTTGTCAGGCTACTCTGAGTCCTCTTCCCGACCTCAGCCTGCTGCCTGCCCCTGGCATGCTAACCCCAGGTTTAGCAAAGAATTCTGCTAAAAACCAATGTATCGAGAATCCGTCCCCCAACCCAACCCGATCCCATCCCTCGTCCCCCATGCTCGATGCCAAAGTCCTTGGCCAGCCTTTAGCAGGAACCCTGTTGGGCCAGGATAGCAGAATCCCCCACTTGATACCAAGTTCCTCCGAGTGACCTCCATCCACTGACACCCTCCCCCCCATACGCCCCCCGTCCTTGAGTGTCATCCCCGGACGACTTGCTTTGTCGGGAACGGAGCTCATTTCTACACTGGAGTCTCTCTCGCCTACTACAGTGGCTTGAATAAAGTCTGTCTTGCTATTTTTAACATGTGCC